ATTTTAAAAATATTCCCCAGATTCTACCTGAAACTGTGTGAACATCCATCGGGGGACGGATGTACAACAGAAACATATCAGCAGCGTCCCTTCAACACTGATTAGGCTCAAACAAGCACTGATTTTAACAAAATAGTGCTAATGTTACAACATTATCTAGCCCCGCCTCCACCAGCACTCCCACTCTGGCAGATACTGGGGTTTGCTGATGTGCTGCACTCACCAGCACCATCTCTGTCCATCTTTGTGGTGGTGTTGATGCTTTGGTTGGAGCGAGGGTTGGTGATGCGGCAGGTCACAGACACCAGCTCCTTCACACTGACGGAGCTCCTCACAGTGAAGGTTCCATCCTTTGCGTCCCTCTCGTGGGTCGGTTTGTATTCATGCAGGTCCACATATTCACCACTGGTCGTGTTTTGACCCGACCATGACACGCTGGATTCAGGGTATCCTCCACGTGCTGTGCAGGTCGCAGTGTCTGCTGTGTCAATGGTCAGGTTTATATCTCTGTAGGGAGCTGTGACAGAGGTGAACACTGTTTACACACCACACACATTCAGAGCACATCAGCACAAACACTTCATGCCAGAAACAAGAACATCGTAGTCAGAGCTGTATGAAAAGTCTCAGGGAGCCCGTGGAGACGTATTCGATCTGAAAGTAAGAAGATATCTTCCTTACCTGAAACCTGCAGTATTGAGTTGCAGAGGCGCTCATGTCTGTCTTTGAAGGAAGCCATGACCCAGAACGACTTCTGGTCGTCTGCAGCTGTAACACTGTGAAGTTTAATGGAGATGTTCCCCGATCCAAACTCAGAAGCAAAGACTGTAACTCTGTTCCTGTAGACTTCAGATGTTGTTTGTTTACACGTTCGTTCACAATGAATCAAAATGTTTTCAGTCCCATCCTCCTGCCAGTAAAACCACTTTGGCCTTGTTGGAACTGGGAGTTTACAGGGAACCAGCACAGAGCCTCCAACAGCGGCACTGAGGAGCTCCGCTCGCTGAGCCGAGATGAGGGCTGGAAAAAGAAACACAAACACATCAGTAATGATGTAATCATGACACCAGTGATGTAACGCACAGTTTAAGAAAACCAGCCAAACTGTAAACAGACAGGCACTGACAGGACCAACTTCAAGTTTGTTTTTCTCTATTTAAAGATTTTATTTTAAAAACAGAAATCTGATTGGTTCTTTGTGCCTCATAAACCTTTTTCCTTCTGGCTGGAGTGCAGTCTCTCACACTAGTGGCTAATTTGGGTCATTAACTTTCCCAAATGACTATCAGTTGTTTTGGATTCTCTGTATTCTTTGTGTTACTGTCCAGTCTTTACCTTATAATATAAAGCACCCCGAGGCTGTTTTTGTTGCTAAATAAATAAATTGAATTAAACTAAGTGAAACGTAATTTAATGTTAAAAATCTCCAGTGAGATGAGATGGATCTGTTGGGTTATTGTGGTATTATTAGCTCTAAATGCTCCTTCATCCCTAAAATCAAAGAAACAAACTGAAGGTTAAAAACAGCAGAGTGTCATAAACAAGAGGATTTACAAGGTTAGGCAGAGTTAGCAGGTAGTTAGCTGGTTTCTATTGAGAGTTTAGTCGGCTCGAGAATGATTGTTTACCAGAGGGTTTAAATATTTGTTGTCTGGGGCACCTCGAGCTGCAGAGGCCAAGAATGATGACTGAAGAGCTTTAGGGGCTTTGTGTCTGTTCATTAAATAAGAGCCTCACACAAAGCAGGAGACACTTGGACACTCAGTCGATACATCAGCACTTAACACGCAGACAGAGCCTCAGCTGTGTGCTGTAAACTGCATTTAGCTTACACTTGAAGCCGATAAGGCTGGAATGCATTTACTTGGATTTAGTATGGATGCAGTACACTTAAAGCCAGGACATGGTAAATCATAGAGCTGTACTAGCTGTATGATTGAAAGATGGCTCATGAAAGAAAGACAAATGGAGTAGATGGTCTTTAATAACTTTGGGTTTGTTACTCCTTAAATAAATATAAAAAGTACAAATTACAAATCGAGCCCAAACATGCATATTTCTGGGGATATTTGAGCATCATGTAGCAGCACATCCTCCACCAGGAGTAAAGCCCAAACATATCTTACCACCGAGCAGTCCGACCACGAGGCCTGCAGTTAACATGTCTGCCTGTAAAACAAAGGTAAAACATGCTGTGGTCACATATCT